ATTGGTGAGTATCAAATGAATTTTGACAAATGCTTTTTTTTTTTTCATCTATGAGGTGGTTTCTGCACTTCATTCTATCGATAAGGCATATTATATCAATTCATCTTCTTATGTTGAACCAACCTTACCATCTTGGCATAAATTGCATTTGGTCATGATGTTCTATCCTTTTTATATGTTGGTGAATTTGGTTTGCTAGTACTTTATTGAGGACTTTTGAATACATAGTTATAAGAAATGTTTTGTAATATTCTTTCCTTGTGATGCCTTTGTTTTTTGTATCAGGGCAAAACTGGCCTCATCAATGATTTGGGAATTTATCCCTCCTCTTTCTTTTTTTAAAGAGTTTATGAAACATGGTTAATTGTTCTTTAAATATTTGGTAAAGTTCACCAGTGAAGCTCTTTGGTTCTGGACTTTCCTTTGTGGAAATTTTTTTTTTTTTTTACTAAGATGATAACTAACTCAGGCTCTTTAGTTGATATTGATCTGTTTACATGTTCTATCTCTTCTTGAGTTAGTTTTGGTAATTTGTGTCTCTCTAGGAAGTTCTCATATTATCTGTAGCATCTAATTTGTTGACATATAATTTTTTCACAGTATTCTCTTGTTACCATTTTTTGTTTTTGTAAAGTGATGTCTTCTGTTTCATTCCTGAATTTAGTAACTCAAGTCTTCTCTCCTTTTGCCTTGAATGGTCTAGATAAGGATTTATCAATTTTATTAATCTTTTCAAAGAATCAATTTTTTTAAAAAACTTTCCTCATTTTTCTAGTCTCTACTAAATTTACTTCTACCCTAATTATGTAATCTCTCCTGCTTTGGGTTTAGTTTGTTCTTGTCTTTTTAGTTTCTTCAGATAGAAAGTCAGGCTGCTGATTTGAGACTTTCTCTTTTAATGTAGGCATTTACAGATGTAAATTCCCTCTAAGCACTGCTTTAGCTGCATCTCATAGATTTTCACATACTGTGATTTTGTTTTCATTAATCTCAAAGTGTTTTTAAACTTTCCTTGTAATTTATTTTTGACTCATTCATTGTTTAGAAATGTTATTTAATTTCCACAAATTTCTGAATTTCCAAAATTTCCTTCTGTTATTGATTTCCAATTTCATTATACTGTGGTCAGAAAACATACTTTATATGACTTTTAAATGCATTGAAATTTATTTTATTGCATAAAATATGGTGTATGCTGGGGAGTGTCTGACGTACGCTTGAAAATTACGTAGATTCTGTTGTTTGGTGGAGTGTTCTGTAGATGTCTGTTTTGTCTAGTTGGTTTATAATGTTGTTCAAATCTTCTGTTTATTTGTTGACCCTCTGCAGTTCTACCATTATTGAAAGTGGAGTACTAAAGTCTCCAACTATTATTGTTGAATTGTCTATTTCTTCCTTTAATTATGCCAGTTTTTTTGACTATTTTGGGGCTTTGTTGGTAAGCAGATGAAATGTGTTTAAAGTTGTTATATCTTCTTAGTGAGCTGACCCTTTTATCATTATAAACTGTCTTTCTTTGTCTCTAGTAACAGTTTTTGTCTTAAAGTCTAATTTTGTTTGATATTAGTATAGCTATTACATCTCTCTTGCGGTGACTATTTTCATGGTGTATCTTTTTCCATCTTTTACCTCCAACCTACTTGTGTCTTTGAATCTAAAGTGTGTCTCTAGTGGGTATCACATAGTTGGATCATGTTGTTTCATCTATAATGCAATCTCTGCTTTTGTTGGAATGTTTGGTCTATTTATATTTAATGTAATTCCATTTATGTGTCCCGGTTTTGTAACATTACAGATGTTTTTGTTATTTTTGTTTCTCCGTGTGGATTCAGTTACTGTTATTTCATTCAGCCTGAAGGACTTCCCTTACTATTTCTTATAGGGCAGGCCTGCCAGTGACGTATTCTTTTAATTTTTTTTAACTGGAAATGTCTTCACTTTCTGTTCATTTCTGAAGGATAACTTTGCTGCATTTAAAATTCTTGGTTGACAACCTTTCTTTCAGTGCTTTGAATATGTCATTCCACTACCTCTGACCTCCATGGTTTCTGATGAGAAATCAGCTTCTAATCTTTTCAGGAGTTCTTACATATGATACATTGCTTTTTTTCTTGTGGTTTTCAAGAGTCTCCATCTTTGGCTTTCAACAGTTTGATGATGGTGTGTCTGAATATGAGTTTGTCCTTTATTTTTACTTCATCAAACTTCTTAGATGTATAGATTCATGTTTTTTATCATATTTGGAAAAATTTTGACAACTATTTCTTCAAATACTTTTTTTGTCCCTTTTCCCTCTCCTCCTCTCTGGGACTCCCATTATATTCCTCAGACTGGATAATATCAATTGATTTATCTTCAAGTTGACTGATTATTTTTCCTGCCCGCTCAAAACTTTGTTAAGCCCCTCTAATAAATTTTAAAATTTCAGTTACTATACTTTTCAACTTTTGAATTTCTATTTATTTTTCTTTGCATACATTTCATCACTTTACTGATATTCTCTGTTTGGTGAGACATCATTCCCACACTGGCCTTTAGTTCCTTGGACATGGTTTCCTTTAATTCTTTTAACATATTTAGAACATTTGATTTAAAGTCTTGGTTAGGGACTTCCCTGGTGGTCCAGTGGTTAAGACTCCACATTTCCACTGCAGGGGGCACAGGTTCAATCCATGGTTGGGGAGCTAAGATCTCACATGTTTGGCAGTGTGTTAAAAACAGAAAACAAAAACCAAGAAGCAAAACCTTGAATTGTGAAGTCTTGATTAGGCAAATCCAGGGTCTGGGCTTCTTCAGTGATAATTTCTATTGACTAACATTTTTTTCCCTACGTATGAGTCATATGTTCCTTTTCTGTGTTTGCTTTGTACTTTTTAATTGAAACTGGGCATTTAAAATTATATAGCAATCCTGGAAATCAGATCCTCCCTCCTGCTCAGAGTTTGTTGTTATTTTTTGTGTCATTGTTTTTTTTGTTTAGTGACTCTACTGAACTAATTCTGTGAAGTCTGTATCCTTCGTCATATGTGGGCCCTTAAGTCTCTGCTTGACTTGCTTAGTGGGAAGCTCATGACTATACAGAAATGTCCTTAACTGCCTAGAACCCGTAAGTCCCCAGTCTTTGCTGATGGGCCGCGTGTGTGTGTTGGGGCACGTCGTTAACTCCTCCTCTAGCCCTTCAGTTCCTGCTGACACAGAGCCTCAAAGTTAGCCCAAGGATGAGTATCAAGTAGAATGATAATTTTGAGAAACACAAATGTAAACCATTAATACATTTTCAGTCTGTTATCTATTATTATTCTCAGCACAGATCATTTGTTCTTTGTAAGCACAGGGATTTTCTGACTTATAAACACATACATGTATAAACACTGAACTCATATGTCTTACAGACCTCACAACCAAAGAGAAAAATAAAAGAGAGCTTTGAGGTTTTTGGAGAATCTGCGGTTTCATAAGGAAAAGAAAAATAAGATTCCAAAAAGCAGAGATAGTGTTGGGTAGTGTTTTTCAGCTGCCTGTATCAGAATTACTTGGGATGTTTGTTAAAAGTCAGGTTTGTGGCTCCGTCCCAAATCTTTTGATTCAGAATATCTTTGGTGAGGTCCAGGGTCTGCATGGTAAACTATCTCCCCAGGTGATTCTTATGTACACTAATGACTGAGAAACTATTTATGAGAGATGATTCTGTAGGTGCCTTCATATCAGGGGCTAACTGGCTCATGATATGAAAAGTGAAGTTGTTCAGTTGTGTCCGACTCTTTGCGACCCCGTGGACTATAGCCCACCAGGCTTCTCCGTCTGTGGGATTTTCCAGGCAAGAATACTGGAGTGGGTTGCCATTTCCTTCTCCAGGGATCTTCCCAACCCAGGGATCGAACCCAGGTCTGCCGCATGGCAGGCAGAGGCTTTAACCCTTTGAGCCACCAAGGAAGCCCAGTGATATTAACTATGCTCAAATATTAATCTCCCTTTTCAATGTCTGATCTTTAAAAAAAATTTCACTTTATTATTACATTTACTTGAAGTCTACCAATTAGAGATTTATTTGCATCTATGAGAATTTTTTTTTTAACAGCTGCCTGAGTTAAAGGATTACCATTTAATCACAGCTCTTTAAAAATTAATCAGTTTGCATTTATCCAAACAACTGATCACAGTGATTTACAAGGAAAGAACAAAGTTTTGTTTTATTTTAATTTGAAAGGAAGATAGATACTTTTGTTGGATTCAGCAAATTTTAGGGGAAAAATAGGCCTGTGTTAATAAAAGCATGCAATAAAAGCATGGATTGGAAGGGAATGTAGGAGAAGTTGCTAGATAAAGTAGTGGGTATTTGCCCCTTTCAAAATATTATGCAAACAACCAGAAAAGGGAGGAAACACATTTCTTTCTTCTTTAAATATTACCCTTTCTCTTAGGACCTCGAATTCAGATCAATAAAATTTGTATTAAGGAATTACATCAGCTACTCTAGGGCTAGTTAGGCTCTTGTGGGTTGTCTGGAGACCTAATTACCACTTAAACCATCATGTGGAAGGCTCTTTATGGAAAAATGTCTTCTGGTTTACAAATAATACACTTCCTGATGTATTTTTTGATTCAGCCATTTGAGAGTTTGAGGTTGGATCAAATTTGGATGCATGAAATTTATCTGTGTTAACATTCCAAGCTGATTTCTCCCAATCCTCTGTATACTTTTAGGCCATTTCTCCTTGAGGAGTTTTGTGTTTAATTAACACAAATTCAGTGTTGAAAAAACAATTAAGGGAGTTTAGATTCTTATCAAATTTAATACATTCAAAGATAGAAATATGATTTAAAAATTTTCATGTTTTGGGTTTTTACTGCTTTGACTTGTCTCTGTTAATGAGAGTAATCAATAGATTCTTCTCCCTTGTCCCTTCAAGCCAGTTTAGGATGCATTATCCTGCCTTCAGTTTCCAGAATTCTATTACAAATGCACAAACTAGTAGCTCACATTTCTTATTTCCTTCAAGGTATTGCACAGCGATGTACAGCTATCAAGTACCACTTTTCTCAGCCAATCCGCTTACGAAACATCCCTTTCAATTTGACCAAGACAATCCAGCAAGATGAATGGCACCTGCTTCGTGAGTATTTCCGGGAAAGGGTCAGAGAGGAAGCGGTGTCTTTCTGAACAAAAAGCATTCCCGCCAGCCCTTTAAGATCTGGACTGAAAGATGCTGTGCTGATCCTGCGTGGGCCTCTGAGCCCCATCTGACTTGGGCAGAGACTCAGAGGGTCATCTCACTGTGCCGAGGTCACAGCTTGTTTGCAGATTGGACGTGTGAGAGTCAGGCGTGGGGCTCTGGGAGACAGTGCAGTGAGCTTGTCTGTCCTGGTGGCATCTGCATACAAGCCACATCCTGGGTGTTTCCTTTAGCAAGTCATGGGGTACAAGGCCCTGATCTGGCAATTGTCTCAGTGAGCCCAGGAGATTATACCTTAGGTGCTCTTATTTTTGTTTTGTTTATCCAATATTCATTTTAGTTACCATTTCTGTCTCAGACCTTGGTGTGTCTGTTCAAATATCTTTATGAGTGTATGTTATAATTTTCTCAGAAGATGTCTGTTACCTCCACATCTTGATGGCAGGAACTCTTTTGTTACTATTAGGAAAATGTGAAAGTCTAGAAAGGATCGTGCAATGTGACACCAAAGAAAACTGATATTTACCTGAAAACTATTGATTCACGTTGCCTAGGGATAGATAACCCAGGAAAGGAAAAAAAAAATACAGCTAGGCCTAATTCTTTTTAGTGTTTACCCCACTCAGAGGTTGACATTGTCATTTCCAATGCAATCAGTGCAAGGACTTCAGTGATCTTGTTTCGTGACCAAAGTCACTACAAAGACAGAGTTTCATTTTGCAAAGTAAAATCTCTCTGCAGAGCAAAGGGCTCTATTTTGAATCTCAAACACATAAATGGAAGCTCTTAAGATACTGCCCACAGCAGTGGTATAATATTATAAATATAGTGATTGGCACATTTAGAACTTGGAAAGTCCTTGGCTTAAATGTGGTTTATTTCTTAATAAACCTGAAAATTCCTAAAAATTATTTTTGGCTGGCTGATCTTAATGGTCATTTCTCAACAGACCTTAGTTAAGGCCTTATCTAAGTGTTCTTAAAAATAACTTTTGAGCATGTTTAGGGTTTTTTGCCTTAATCATCTATCCAGAAAGTCACATAGTCATTGGTTTTAGGTGAGAAAAGATCATTACAGGGTCCTGACAAAGAACCTTGTCTCTTTACTCTAAGGGTTTGTACCCTGTCACTGCCCAGCAAGACCATGTTGAGCATTGTCCTCCTAATCCTCTTTGAGGTTCTCATGGAAAGATGCTTTCAGCGGTCTCAGGCATGGCTCTTTCCAGGACAGTCACACTTGGTGATCTGCACCGTGTTTACCGGATAAGCTTAACATGTCTGGTACTAATGCGAATTCCATGTGAATTATATCTGAACCTTGTGTGTGTACGTTTTAATGGCCATAGAAAATAAAACTTGAATCACAGGGAATTTAGGAGGTTGTGAGATTATGGTGGCTGAGCTATGATGACATTGAATGTCTCAAAATGACTTACACTGTAATATTAAACAGCCCCTTTAAATGAACTGTGTCTGTGACCTCTAGCTCTGTGATGTATACACTTTCCCTTCTAGGCTGCAATGCCCTGATTCAATATAGATGCTCTGAGCTGGAAATAAGAAATTCTTTTGAAAGAAAGGGATGAACCATGTGTGACAAGGCCAAGACTGGAAGCTACCGTAATCCACCCTGTATACACCACCCTGAGTGGCCCAGGAGCCACAGGAACACACAGGGAGGTGGTATCTGCCTGGGCACCTTTGCAGGGCAGCCCGCGTTCATGCAGCAGGGTGTGCCTATTGTCTGGGCTCTGTGTGTGCATAGGTGTGCTTGCCCAGGACCATTAACTGGTCTCAGGGTCAGCCTTATGTTTGGGATCTATTGCTTTACAAGGGGTCAGAGAAATTTAGCCACAATTTTTAAAATTATCTTCATTCAAATTAAAAAAAGGAGAGAGGAAAATAGAAAAAGAAAATAACAGGAGGGTGGGCAATCAGAGTATTCAAAGTGTTCGTTGCTCAGTCATGTCTGACTCTTTGCAACCACATGGACTGTTAGCCCACCAAGCTTCACTGTCCATGGAATTCTGTAGGCAAGAATAGTGGAATGGGTTACTATTCCCTTCCCCAGAGCATCTTCCTGACCCAGGGGTTGAACCTGGCTCTCATGTATTGTAGGCAGATTCTTCACCATCTGAGCCATCAGGGAAGCCCAGTGCACCCAAGTACATGAAGCCAGTCAGTCTCTTGGTTATGGCGCAGAAGGTGGGGAGGGGCTGGGCTCCTGGCCAGTGATCACAACCGTGGTGGTTTTGTGACAGACCAAACTTGACAGTTGCATATACAGTGGGGTTGGCCATGAAAACAGCCCTTCCTTAACCTGAGTACTTGGATGCTTGGGTTGTAGGACCTGTGTTTAAGGGGAGAGGGCCTTTATGAGCAGATGTCTTATATGTGCATCTTGGGTCCCATTTTAGGTACAACTGCTTTCACTTTCTCAAATCCTTTTTGAAAATAGGCAGGAGGAAAAATAACTGAAAAATAAAATAATTGGCATCCTTGCTGCGCAGGTAAAACCATGTTTCACTGTAGCTGACTTTTTAGACTTTTTCCCCAAAGTCAAATTAATTACAGTCACTGCAGTTGGTGGTGACCTAGGTTTCTGTTGCTCTTTGCAGGATAATAAAGATCCTTTGCAAACCTTCTTCAGTTTGTTCAGTACAACCTTGTTTGTTTGCAAACAAACTCTTAGTTTGTTAAGTAACTCGTTACCTATAACTCTTGCTTGCCTGGTGTCCTCTGGTCTGAGTTCTACTTGGTGTGGACTTTTCCATGGATTTAGAGAAGGCAGATGCTGATACCTCAATTGGTTATACCCCATCTGTCCTCTTCCTAAATACTTGGGAAGTTTATTTCCTAAATCACCTTGGCCCTGTAGACGCTATGCCTATCCATGCAGCTTATTAATTTTCACAATGTATACAGAGGTCTTCATTCTCTAATTTTCAATAACTCTCCTTCTTGTTATTTTGAATGCTTGTATTTGAGATTAGATTTAAGAAGGATCACTGCTGGCTTCCTGGGCATGGCTGTGGCTGTCCTGCTTTGTGGCTGCATTGTGGCCACGGTCAGCTTCTTCTGGGAGGAAAGCCTGACCCAGCACGTGGCTGGACTTCTTTTCCTCATGACAGGTAGGTGGAGCCCCTCTGACACCTTTCCCAGAAAAAGTGAAGGCTATTCTGCAGCATGTAGCTTCACTTTGTTATCTCTCTGTTAATTTTATTTTCACTTGTGAGAAAAGCAACCAAAAGGTTCTTTGGCTTTGGTGGGCAATACAGAATTTGAAGAAAACAGCCATGTTAAAAGCACGGGCCTGATTTCCCTATTGTGGTCCATTACAAGATTAGATGGAGATGTCTTGGGTTTAATCTCCGTATGAGGCAGATCTGATTTTTCTGTTCCATTCTTTCATATTGTCCCCCTAGCTCTGACATGGACTCTTAGCAAAAGTGGACCATGGTTCTCAGGAACCCTCCAGCAGAGGGTGATAGCTCAGCACAGTCCACGCCTCTGGGCAAGTCAGCTCAGTCCATCCTTAGTGATGGAGTCACTGGTGTCATTTTTTACGCACAAAAAACATTCATTCATTTTATTGTACAGATATTTTTTAAGGACTTCTTATGGGCCAGGCACTGCTTTACATATAAAGACACACAGAGATTAAGGCAGATAAAATCCTTCTCCATTTCTGTTGTGGGGAGACACAAACGATCATTTGTGACAGTCATGAAAGCTGTGAGAAGGAGAAACGAGTTGGCAAAGGGGACCCTATTCTAATTGGGGAGTGTGCTGCAGGCAGAGGAAGGCCCAGTGCCAAGCCCCAAGGAGGGGTGGGTTGATGCTTATGTTTTGAGCTACAGAGAGACCAGTGTGGCTGGAGAGCAAGGAGGGAAGGGACAGCATCCTGTGAGGCAGAGAAGCAGGCAGTGGCTTGGATTTTAATCCAAGAGTGATGGAATTCACCAGAAGGTTTTTTTTTTTTCATTTATTTTTATTAGTTGGAGGCTAATTACTTTACAATATTGTAGTGGTTTTTGTCATACATTGATGTGAATTAGCCATGGATTTACATGTATTCCCCATCCCGATCCCCCCTCCCACCTCCCTCTCCACCCGATCCCTTTGGCTCTTCCCAGTGCACCAGGTCCAAGCACTTGTCTCATGCATCCAACCTGGGCTGCACCAGAAGGTTTTAAACCAAGCAGTCACTTTATTTTAAAGCAGGAGGTTGGGTGGGGAGAGTGTGGAGACAGTCTTACTGATTAGCAGGTAAAGGACATTTTTGTCTAAGAAGGAGCCAAAAGAGCTGAATTGAAGGCTGAAATTGACTGAACGTGGCTTTGGGGAAAAAACCTTTCCTCCTGCTTCTCAGGACATGACTGTGATAGTGATTAGTGAGTGCCAAGTTAGCAGTCTCACCTGAGTACGCTTAGCATCAGGGCACTGTTACTCTAGATGTGCTGGCACTTTGAATAAGCTTATTTTTGCTTCTCTGGAGTCCTGTTACTCAAGTAAGCATGACTGGGTCTTCTGACACTTCTCACCGTCACGATCACTTGCTCAGGCCGGTGTTAGCTGGAGGCAGCACCCCTCCGTGGTTGGCACTGTCTCTGTCTTTCATGACTGACAGGTAGATGGTCAACCAGTCAGCCTGCCTAACCCAGTTCTGCCACAGAGGCCCTTCCTTCTAAGTTCTGTGGGTGTGTTTTCTACCCGATGATATGGGGCTGTAACTGGCAGTGATCTAGAATCTGGATGATCACTGTGAACATTTAGCATTTAGAGCATTTAGAAGTCACCTGGGTCCTGAAAAATTCTTAGCAGAACATCAACTTTTCCAAATTTAGGGGATTACACAGAGACTGAAGGATTGTAGCCTTGGGAGGCTAAAAATCTTCTCCCTTTTCTTCCCTTCCTTTATTAGCTGAGCCCTCCTTTTTCTAACTCTCGTCCTCATAGACATCAAAGTACAGATTCACTATCCCCAGCCCTGAAAAGGCCCCACGTTGTGTCCTTAGGGAAAATGAAAGGAGCTGAGGGTCAGACAAAAGCCTCAGTAGTACTAGTTTTTAAAGGACACTTTTAATGTGGGTAATGCATGAATAATTTAAGATGCTCTTAGATATAAAACAATTGTTGGCATTAAAATAAATCATAGGACCATAAAAGCCAGCCTCAGTGAGCATTCCTTGGGAGGAGGAGGGGCTTGTTTAGTTTTAAATGAGAGGAGGTGGGTCGGCTCGGAGCAGAGTTAGGAACCAAGTTTCTTGAGCCAGCCCCACCTGCCTCTGCTCAACCCTAAACTGAGTGTGTACCTTTGGGCCAGACTGACTCAGGGCTCAGCAGGGTTTATTATTCAAAGTCCCTGTGCAATTGTTAAACAAGAAAGAACAAGCAGAACAATAGCCACAATAGCAAAACCCCACTGCAACCCCCCTCCAAAATCCCAAACTTGTAAACTTGAAGTTTGATGACCAGTCCCGGAGGATAGACAGATACCACATAACACTGTTTGGCTTTTTTGGTTTTGATTTTGATTGCCCAAACGACATTTTTTTTTTTTTTTTTTGACTAAAGGGAAAATCCACTTACAGATGTCACCATCTAAAAAATTAGGTTGTTAAAATATTTTCCTTATCCTAAAGAATTCTTGCCCACATCTTTGTCTCATTAAAACAAAATAAAACAAAGGGGAGAGAAGTGGCTGTGGCTCTAAAAGGGTAGATAATTCAGGGCATTCTCATGATGGAAATGGCCTGTATCTGGACCATGAAAGTGGTCACATAATCTGCACACATGGTGACATTCCATGGATCGAAGTGTGCACACACACAAGGGAGTGTGTATAAAAATGGTGAAATCTGAATCAGGTGGATGGACTGTGTCTTTGTCAGTTTCCTGGTTGTGCTGTTATACTAGGGTCATATAAGACATTACTGTTTGGGGAAATCCAGTGATGGGTGTGTAGGATCTTGCCTACATATATGTTATTTTTAAATTGGGTTATAATTACAGTGTTGTATTAGTTTCTGCTCTACAACATGGATCGGTTGTAAGTGTACATATATCTCCTGTTTCTTGAGTCTCCCTCCCACTCATCCCCCATCCTACTCACCATGTTACTTCCATCAACTGCATTTGAGTCTACAGTTATTTCAGAAAAAAAGTTTAAAGAAAAAAAGAAGAAAAATGTTTGCAACCTTCATCATTTGGGAAGTATTTTGTTTTCTAGGCTTCCACTGAACATTATACCAAATCCATCCCCCATGTCCCTATATTGTTCTGTGTTCAGTTTTTAATCCATTTTAATAGCTGCATTTTCTTCCATGGAGGGGATTTGCTGTGCTGCACTATGGGATTTAGGGAGGTTTGTTTCCTTTTTGCCACTACAAATAATACCTTTCCATTTCCTTGTAAACACTGAGATAGCTGTGTTAATCCAGTGCATGAGATAAATTAGCTATAGGACCTTTGCATGTAGCTGCAGGAGATGAGAGCAAATAAGGGTTAAAAGAATTGATTTTAATTAAGCAGAAATGTCTTCGGCAGTCCTAGTCAGCGTCACTCCCACCGATTTCTGATGCTAATCTTAGCCTCTTCTAAGGCGCTGGCATCTTCACTCTACCTGAATTTATTAGTCAAACCTTCAATGAAGATCATCAGTGATGTGACAGTTTGAGATGTTAAAATGGAAACTTGGAAACAATCTCTCCTTCTGCCTGTATTGCATACAGACAGCTCTTGATTACCCACATGTGGAACAGCAGGGCTGTAACTGTCACTTCTCATCCTAATTCCCTGGGGGCTCTCAAGCAGTCCTCCAGCTGGGCCAGGGGCACAGGGCCCCAGATAGAGCCTTCTGACTTCATGTCCTCTGAGGTTACACACCCTGTCACCGAGGCGTATGCAGAGGACTAAGGAAATAAAGACTAATGATCCAGGGTGAGGGGCTGCCCTTGACCAGACAGCACTGTCTTCGGGCACTGCTAGTGAGTATGTGCATCAGCTTCAAATGATGCTTTCATTAGATCACCATTGTGATAGAATGATGATTATCATTTGTCAGACATATAAATATCTTCAAAAGTTAATTTATTCAATGCAGATATTTTGGGGCCTCCATTCCCCTTCATAGGCTGGGCCAGGAGTGACCACCGCTAACAGTACAGGGCTTTGGGGACAGCAGAGAAGGAAGAAACAGTCCAGGCCACCCCAGCCAAGCGCTGGGATGGGCACCACCCACGTTAGGCAACCCATTGTTTTGCTTCAATACATTCAATTTTTTTTTTTTAAAGGCCTCCTCTGTAGGTGTATTGACTTATCTAGGGTATCCATTGATTATTACCTAAAACTATAGGTTCTTAATGCTATATCTGAAACTCTTGGGGCCAGGTGCACTTTGGAATTCAGGATTTAAAAAAATATTTTTTTTTAATATTTTTAGAAAGGTAATATAGCGCATGTATTCTGTATTATCTAACACCCTAGGCAGGGTCTAAAGTCAAATACATTAACATTTCTGCAGCCAAACATATGAATATTCACACCAGGCAGGATCAATAAGGACTATCAATAGCCATGTGTCACATCAGACCAAGATTTGCTGGTCAATGACATTGCTGCAATCTCTCAGAAGAAGATTGGATGCTTTCTGGGTTTAGTAGTTGCAGACTGTGGATCATGTATTTGATTTTTTCAAGACGTGTCATCTGTCTCTCTTAGTCCTGCCCAGTCATTTAGTTAAGGCAACTTAGCAATGGCTTTTTGAGTAATATGTGTGAAAGTAGCGTGAGGCATTTTTTTTGTGTGTGTGGAATTGCAGAGACCAGAATGATGGCAGGCCATCTTTTGAAGGAGTGAAAAAAAAAAAATCAATGTTTATGCCTTTGGGTGTTGCAGCTACGTTATTTATCAAACAGGCTAACCAGGATGAAGCAACTTCCGCTCTCTTCTGCCTTTCAAGCACATCAAAGGAGGATGGTCAGAAGAGTGGACCCAGTTACCCTAATTACTCTGTACCGGCTGGCCACAGGCACTGAGAAGAGTTTAGGGAAGGAAATTAGGTTGATGATCTGGGATGCAGCATATATTCACTTCTTTCCCAATCCGAAACTATCCCTTCCAGTCTTGT